TATATATATATATATATATATATATATATATATATAATTTCGGGTTCAAAGAAGAATGATATTTATTTAAAAGAATTAAAAAAACGATTGAATCACATGTGATTTTAAATTAACATCACGTACAAAATCATGTGATCAACGCAACTTTACCTCACGACCTGAAGACGTGGCCATAGGGTCGTTCAAACTCTTTTTTGATCGTTAATGTAAAATCACATGTGATTTTACAAGCGATTTGGCCATTTTTGTATTTTCTTAAATAGTTAGCATTCTCATTTAATTCTCTCTCTATATATATAGGCGAAAGATCATGTAATAAGGAAAGTTAAGTTAAGAAACGTAAGAAGGGATATGTATCATTGATCACCTTTAATCTCAAATCCACTCATGAATCACACTTGATACGGTGATCAATTGGTGCATCTCATCCTAATGTGCATCCAAGAGTGGAAATCTTTCTTACGCTTCTCACATTAACTTTTTTCTCACCGGAATCCAACCTTATATATGTATAGGGGCTGGTTTAAATGAAAACCAAGTTTGGTTTGTGAACCAAGGGAGAAAGAAGAGTGCGACAAGTGTCCCATATGTTCAGTGAATTACTGGATATTTTATCATGAATAATGATGAATCATTTTAACATAGATCATGATTGTGTGTTATTCATCATGAATATTGTATCATTCAACATGAATAGTTCTTGAACTTCACATTCGTTATTGACACTGAATGTGTACACCGGTAACACGTGTCTAGCTCTCCTTTATCCTCCAGGGTCACAGTCAAAAATCGGTTTACAATTAAACTTCTCTCTATTTATATATGATTTGATTTTCATATAATTGAGTAATATGTGGAGACAGGTACATTTTTATATGCATGGGTCCCAAGTTGTGAGGTCTTTAGTTTATAAACGATCAATGTATCAAATACTTAAGCATGATACTTGCAATATTTTTACTTTTTTTTTTTAATTTATTCGTTTGGCTTATTAATTAAGATCGATGTATGTTTATAACAATATACGATATTATTATTATTATTATAAATCAAGCAAAGCTATCTCTTTTTCAACAGGTTTTCATTTGGTCTAAAAAAAGCTGGCATTCTTTTAATATATTATTTCATGGTTTTTTTTATGATATATAATTATATTGTTTCAAAATTAATAGAATTAAATGAGTTGCATCTTGACTCGGGAATATGGCATTAAACTCTAAAAATCCATTAATGCTTTTATCGTACAGTTTTGTCTTTATACAGTAATAAAGGCGTTTTGACATCTTAACTCGAAATATCTAAAAAGAATAAACATTTCTTTTTTAAGATGTTCTCTAAACAGATCTTAATAAAAACAGAATTAGGAAATAGATATAGGGGTCCATTCAAGGGAGAACTGACTAGTTTGTGGTAACCATGAGATCCAATCTCAACCACAAATCAATAGATAAATTAGAAAATTTATAATGTTGGTAATTATTAATTAAAATTTTAATGTAAGGACATTTTAGGTATTTTCTTTCCTCTCTTCTCTCTCCGTCCCCGTCTTCCGGCCTCCGACCGCTGTCCTCCGGTGATACCACAGTGTGATACTCAAACACATATAAGATGCATTGTGATACCACTGTGTTACATATCCGATCAACCACATAAATGACCTCAATGTGATACCCAATCACATATAAGATGCACTGTGATACCACTGTGGTATCATCGGAGAACGGTGGCAGGAGGCCGGGAGACGTAGAGAGAAGAGAGGAGAGAAGAGAAAATACCTAAAATGTCCTTCATTAAAATTTTAATTAAAAATTATCAAAATCATAAATTTTCTAATTTATCTATTATAATTTTTGTATAATTGGGTATTTTTTTGGTTAAATTAAAAATTATATTTATTTACTTGATTTAATAGTTAAGAATTAAATTTGGTGCTTGTTGGAAATTTGAACAGTAGAAAGAATTGGTCTGCCAAATCAAAATTTTCTTCGGGGAGGGGCCCACAAACGAAAAATTAAAAAATATTGGGCCAAGCCCAGTTATGGGAGATCACGTGCCATGCCATGCCAGTTGCCAGCTATGTCCGTGATAAATAGATAGCTTACCATCCGATATTTATTATTTGAAAATAAAATAGTAGTTTATTACAAATTTACCCTTCCCCTTCACTCAAACTTTCTTCTCTCTTGCTTTTTACGTCTTCTCGAGAAAAATATATACTTAATTTGGATAAAAAATTGACTACCGATAACTCCAACCGACCTCACATGAAACCGTCTAATAACATCAACGTTTTGACTTAACCAACTACTGAGACTAGGGTCCGAAGGGGAGGGTGAGGGTTTTGTAAATCGGATTTTAGACGTCGAGCTTTGGTCATCAAGACTTTAAAATGGATCTATAATTAAGATTGATTTGATATACGATATGAATAATGAAATGGGCATAGCATGTAAATAGAGGATGTGGGGCTAAAAAAGGAACAAAACAAAAAGGATGATTGTAATTATGATGAATAGAGAAATTAGAGATGTGGGTGTGATAGGAAGCAATTTCACAATTCCAAACACACCACAAATTTAAGCAATCAATCTCTCCCCATAACCATAACCATAACCATAACCAAAACCTATCCTTTTCACCTTTTTATACCTTCAATTATATGTCTTCCTTTGTCGCTTTCTCCTACTCATGTTCACACTTTTCATTTTCAACAACACCAAAATAATTATATATAGAGACAGCTATAAAAAATTAAAAATTGAGGAATATTTTAATAATTATATATCTGGAAGGTATATACATATGTATAAAAGTAACTGAAAGTGTTTCCTGGTATCTATGCATGTGTGCATATATGCATACCGAACAAATTATGTTTGAAATTAAGATGAGATGAACTGGATCAACGTCGGTAGGTATCAAGCACGATTCATGGGTGAGTTTGAGATTAAAGATGATCAAGGGTTTAGATCCTTTCTCATGCTTCTCATCTTAACGCTCTTTCTCATCCTTTACCTATATATATATATATAAGAAGAAGTAGAGAAGTGATTATAACCCCTCATCTTAACTGTGAAGCACCTAATAATTCCTCGCATGGTATGTGGAAGATAAAGAGGTAGTTTCATAACTTTTATAAATAGATGGAAAAACAAGTGTATATGTGAATCTACGTGATTTACATATGAACTGGTTAACTGATTCACATATGAACTATGAGTTTACATATGCACTTGTTTGTCACCTATTTGTAAAAGTTACGAAACCACCCCTTTATTTTCGCTTGACAAGTCAAAGCCACAAATCTTGACTAGTTAAAGTTGCAACCTTTAACCAATCAAAATCGTAATTCTTAACCAATTTTGACCGTATAAAAGGCTATAATCATTTTTTTTACTTCTCAAACTAATATATATATATATATATATATATATATATATATAATTAAGGGTCATCTTTTAAGAACTAGAAGGATACCCGCACAATGCAGCGAGATACATCTTCATTTTAATGTTTCGTTTTATTTGTTTCTGTTGATATAATATGGTTTATGTGGTTTTGAGAAAGATAATGTTTTTACTTTTGAACAAAAATAAATTTGAAGATATCATAAAATTTTGAAAAAATATATCAATATAAATATCAAATTAACTATTTAAAAGTTCTCATTGTTTTGTACAATTTTTTAATTCACTTTTTTTGTTATAATTTAATTTAGGTATAATAGCAAAGTAATTTATTTTTGGCTTAACAATATAATTTTTATAAAGATAATAATTTTTTTAGAATTCAATGATTATCCTAATTATATTTTAGATTTTTTATATTTAAAATGAAATGTTTATCCTATATTTTGATTATGTTTATCTGCGATTGCAGTTAGTTACACGAATTCAAAAATGAAGCTTTAATAAGTTGTACTTACGCACATTTTACTTGTAATATTGAATTTTAAGTAATATGCATCAATAAACATTACTTCATACATAAAAAATAATTTCTAAGAGTTTTTTAAAAAAAATCTAATATAAATTAAAAACTTCTCCCTTTTCTCTCTCCTATTTTCTTTTTCTGCCATTCTAAACCACCAATTTAATCTCCTATTTTTTTTCTGTCATCTTAAATCACTAATTTAAGATAAATTTGTATAATTAAATTTAGAAATAGAAAAAGGATACATTATTTTTATTTATTTTCACATTTAATCTAATTGCATGAAAGCAAAATAGATGATATAAGATTATATTATGTTGTTTGGGGTCTCTCTCATTCATACAATCAAACCCCACCATACACTTCACCCTTTAGAAACATCCATCATATTCAAAGATAAGATCCATTATATGAAAATGATGAAATAAAAATTATATTAAAAAATTAAACCAAAATACAATTACAATAATAGAGGTTAAAAAAAGACATATAAAAGTTAAATAACGTAATAATAAATGATTTATATGTGAATAAACTGATTCATATGTGAACCATTAGTAAAAGAAAATGTTCAAATGGAATTTTCTGGGTTTACCAATGATTCACATGTGAATCATTTATTCCCATGTGAATAATCATTTACTAATGTGACTATATTTGAACAACTACATCATTCAAGCCCTAAAAAACCCAAAACATCCTAAATCTATGTGAACAACAAAGAACAAGAACCAAATGGAATGAACAATGGAGTGTGTGTTTATCAACCACCACCAAAGCTGCGGTCTCAAATGGCATCATTACCAAACAGGTTCCAATCATTGATTCTAAATGTTGAAACTGCTTGCTTAAAGACTTCAGCCATCGGGGTTCGTCCCGACTCCGCAGCAGGCACCGTTACACCGGCTCCAACCGAACTTGCACTTTCACTTAAAGGGCTGCAACCACAACATAGAAAAACCATTGTCGAGTGTTTGATCCATGAACTGATGGCACCCCAGAAATTAATATTACTCTATACGTACTTTATGAAGACAGGCTCGTATGCAGTGATGAGGATATCCGTGTTAACTCCCTTCAGACGCAAATTTGCCAAGTATACCTAACGAAAGCAGATAGGTCGGAACTTTCAGGTTGTTTGAAACAATCCAATGGGGGATCAAGAAATGTTAAACGAGATACCTTCACTAGATTTTGTGCTTCTCTTCCTTGGCGTCCTTTGGAAATGGCCTACACGAATTGCAGAAACCAGATATGGGCTCATAAGGATCCAAGTAGAGGCAGTGAGATTTTATATTCAGAATGTTATATTTGAAACCATCATGGTTTCTAAAGAGAAATCATAAAGCACAAAGGCTACTAGAATTTTGCAAGCTGGGGCGTAAAACTCGTCTCACATGGACAGAAAATGGGATTTGTGAGCTCCTTATGAGCCTCAAATAGTGGGCTACCAATAACTTCCACGGTTTTAAGTTGACTCCGAAGTTATTGGGATAGCCTATTGTTTTGGACTTTGGGGTGTTATAAATGGTATTAGAGCCAGAAACCGGACTGGCGTGCCAATGAGAACGCTGGGCTCCAAGGGGGTGGACTGTAAGATCCTACATCAGTAGGGGAGGGGAACAAAGAGACCCTTATAAGAGACTGGATAACTCCTCTATCAAACACGTTTTAAACCCTGAGTACAAGTGTGGACAAAACGGACAATATCTGGTACGGTTGATCTAGGATGTTACGGATAAAAAAGGTCTTTGATTAGACCTTCAATAATAAAAAGTAAGTTAATCTTGTGGAACCAAATCAACATACGAAAACTTTCTTGAAGAAAAAAGAAAATGTTAGAATTGAACTCTGTGTGGCTTTTAATGTTTTTTATATGCAGCAGGTAATAAACACCAGGAAATGATAACTGTTGAAACTAAGAGCTACACCTCCCTTCCCATGAAAACTGCAAAAAAGGAATTCCTTTCCAAGATGTCCCATGAGAATTGTAACATTTCTTCTTTTCTTCAAGAAAGTTTTCATATCAAAATTGCACAATTTACACTTTATCATTCACAATGAAAAATTGATACCACTGATTTGGGTTCACAACAAAATATCTGTACTGATTGACACTAACATTTTCCTCAAACTATGTGCAGAGTCGAGTATTTTAGCATCCACCAGACATTCAAGAGAAAAGTTGGTATCTTGCTTACCATTTGGGCAACAGCAGATGTTAATACAGCAGGCGTGTTTCTGAATTGCAGTCCCTGAGCCTCGAACACTGTTGACTGCTCAGTCACCTAGATGAGACAAATTGAACCAAAACAAAAGTTAAGGGTTTGTTCGTTTATATTATTTTCCAATTTATCATCCATAAAATGCTAACAGTTAAAAAAAGGATAATGTTGAACATGCGATGCATTTCATATCAAGTTTTAGTTTGGAAAGTGATAGGATTACCTCAAATGTCATAAAAAATTTACTCCCATTGTCCCAAAATATATTCTTAATTTGGAGTGCCAAGTTTTGAAAAAACTTGTGCATAAAGCTCCCCTAAAAGCTTACTGAATAAATCACTTTCTATATCATTAAGCCACTACCAAACAGTAATGTATAGCTTACCGAATAAGCTGTGAGTCCCATTAAGTTCATTAAACTGCTAACAAGCAGGCCCTAACTGCAATATCTACCTTTCAAGAAAGTTTCAATGAGTAATAATTACATTAGCATTCATTTTTGTCTACAAAGTCTCTTTTTCGTCATATTTGAGGGGTATTTTAGATATTTGATCAATAGTCATGTATCTAATCACACGTTGAACATATTTTTAGGAGGGGGTATGTTTTTTTCTTGGAAGGAGAGGGATTAAAAAAGTAAATTCTTGGTCCCATTATTCTTCTAAAAAATTCAAAGGTTCCTTTACCAATTAACGGAGCTTGAAAATATAGTTCTTGATTGTTAAGATGTTAATGCCTTCTACAAGCAAGCATTGTGTCTATTTTTTCTATGTTCATGTATGTGTGTGTCTATATATATACACACATATACATAGAGAGAGAGAGAGAGGTTACAAGGGAAATCCCCAAAAAATAAAAAACTGAGAAACACTCTAATAACCGTTATCTGTACGGTATGCATACGTGAATACAAGAATTTGAAGATGTTTCTTGGTTTCTATGCACGTGTGCATGTGCATACCGGAAAATTACTTGTATACACATATGCATACCGTACAAATGAATGGTTACTAGAGTGTTCCTTAATTTTTCATTTTTTTGCGGTTTTCCCCTGAACCTAACCCCATATATATGTGGCGTCAATATGACTAAAAGCTTGAAATGAAGGCAAAAGGAAAAGAAATTACAATGGTACCCTCAGCGCCTTGTTCTCCGGCAAGGTCTTGTAGAAACCAAGTAGCACTTCCATCGTCAACAACATCATGCTTCAATTCTAAAAGCTCAAATATCAGGCTCTCATCACGTCCAGGGTCCACAAACACCTCCTGAACACACAAGCAAAAATCCAATAACAAAAAGGGAAAAAAATGTTGGAAGCTCAAACAAAGATTAACACACAGAAAGAGAAAATCCAATGGCACTTTTTGACCTAAAAGTTCTTAATGGAAGATGGACTGAAAAGTAAGTGAAGATGATCACCTTGCAAGTATCAAGATGATGAAAACAAAACCAACTGCAATCAAGAATGCTTCATTCCTAAATAGGTATATGCTTTCAAATTGTTTGGTCAAAAACCTATAGGTTTACCAATGCACTAATACACTATTGATATGAACTTGGTTACACTTTATCTTCAACTTTTTAAGTTTATTGATGTAGGCCCAAAATCATATAAAAACCTCCTATAAGTTAGAAACTCTATGAACCATTATTAACCATGTATATTTAACTTCCATAATTATCTTATTTATTATCTTATAAACCGTTTCCTAGAAAAACTCATTTTTTTGTTTTTATTTTTTTTTTATTTTGAAACAGCAGAGTTGTTTCACCAATGAAACAAAACATAGATTGATCTGTATTGATCCGCTTTACTAATACAGTCTTGTTTCACTAATAAAATAACATATTGATCCGTATTGATAATATAGTGATGTTTCACCAATGAAACAACATATGAGGTTGGTCTGTTCACCAATGAAACTACATATGAGGTTGGTCTGTTTTGAATTAAGTATCATTTCACCAATGAAACATTATATCGGTGGGTGATTTCAGATGGGGAAAGTGAGTTTTTTACAAAGCAGTTGATAAGATGATTAAAGAAGTTAAATAGGTGTGGTCTATATTGGTTCATAGATTTTCTAACATATAGGCGTCTTCTATTTGATTTGCCCCCTACTGATGTATTTACACAAATATCAGCAACGAAAAGTGAAGTTAAAAAATAGCAGTTATAATCATTCTAAGTGAGAACAAATATACAGCAAACATATAAAAACCAACCCGCGGTTTATCACAAAGTAAGCAAAAATTCAAAAGTGAAAACGAATATGGAAGAAACAAACCTGGTGATCAGGAACTTGACGAATGTTGCTCACATCCTACAATCCAAAATCCAAACTTCCTTATCAAAAATCTATAAACGAAGATGTGACATTAACGAAACAGATACCTAAAAGATAAATTAAAAAACTAACCTCAAACCTAAGAGGGAAATTAGTGGAAATTGCTCCGCCAAACAATGGTCTTGGTGGAAATTGCTCCATTTCAACTAAAACTGCAAACGTTGACAGATAAAAACAACATTAGGATCATTGATGAGCTGCAGATATCAAACGGCAATCATGAAATCATGAAGTAACTCTAATTAAGAAAAATCGTGAAATCAAACAAGAAGAAGCAACTAGAATAAGTAAAAAACGATGCTTATGAGTGAATACTTACGGAAAAGCAACGGTTCACGGCGGCAATTGGACGATCACAAAAAATGGCGATGTTTGTGGGTTTTAGTGTTGTGTTGTCTGCTTGAAAGTAAAGCAACAATTTGGTTGTGAAACTATAAATTGAACATTGAAGTTCAAGGAAGATTGGATTTTGGGCCTGTGGGTTATGGGCCCACACCGCTTCCTCCAATTTGTTCGAAAAACAGATGTCTTGAGTACTTGATATTTTACTGAATAATGTATGGATAAATCATTTTTCGTTATTCATTTACCAGTTATGATTTTATATATATATATATATATATATAAACCTAAAGGTAGGGTTGGTAATGGGTAAGAGTAAACTCGTTACCGTTATATTTCAATCCGTTGGATAAGGATATAGGTAAAGAAAATTTTATCCAGTTATCTTTTACTCCCGTTTACCCGATATTTTAACGGGTAAGGTATGGATAAAGTGTTTTTCATTATCTATTTACCTGTTAAACCATTTATATATATGTGTGTGTATATATATATATATATACACATACATATATATATATATATACATGTAATTATATAAAGTTAAATATTAATATATTTTTTAAAATGTTATCTTATATGTTGTATGACCTGTACTGATTGGTATTTAATTTTCTATTCATGTTCATCAACTAAAATAGTTAATTAGGGTAATCAAATGAGAAGTAATATGGGGTCGCTAAAATAAATATAACAAACATAAATGTTGTCTTAAGATTTTTATATTGTTGTGTAACATATCACAATGTAATATTTTTAAAACAATATGACAATGTTTATTGGAACAAATTATATATAAAATAAAGATTATATTTATGAACTTATATGTTGATGTTTAACAATATTATTGTAGTTCAAAAATGATATTTTACCATTATCCATTACCGTTTTATTACTCGCTATCTTAGTGGGTAGGTATGGATATGAATATGAGTTTTATGACATGGATAATTACGCGTTTCATTACATGTTAGTTTCCATGGATTGGATAATGGATTAACCTTTACTTTACTTTTACCCTACCCATTGTCAGTTCTATCTAAATGGTACAATCAAGGGTATTTGAGTCTTTTTATGAAATTCATATTTGTAAGAATAATTTAGAGTTTTCTTAAAAAATATTAATTTCTTAAATATCTTATTTGGTTACCAAATGTAACCGACTTTGTATTTTTAGGAATAATTTAAACTTTTCTTAGAAAATATTAATTTCTTAATAAATGAACCAATCATAATTCGGCTACCATATGTAACCATGAATAAAAAATTCATAACTAAATACAAGAATAGTTTATAACTATTCATAACCATCTATAAAATTCATCAGCTTTTCATATACGAAACCATATACAAAAATTGATCCATATATGAAAAGTTCATAACTTTTTCACGTATGAAACGATATGAAAAATAATACATATATGAAAAATTCATCACTTTTTCATATATGTAAAACAATCATCATACGTATAAGAAATATCTTCATTCATTTAGAAATAACGGTGTAGCTTCTTCACCGAAAGAGATGCAAATATGTTCAACGGAACCCACATTTTCTAATTGCACATGTTTGCGTCAGATTGCCTTGTTAATAAACCAGACATACAGACATCGAGAAGTATTGGAACACCATCGTAGGCGAAAATCAACCCATACATTGTCAGGATCGGCGGTGATTGCTTCCACGACCATGGACGCCTTTTCCTTTATGGACTTTTGGTAATTTTTTATATAATTCTTTAAATATAGAACTCCAAAAAAATATTACTATGAGAGAGCAATATTTTTTATTATATTCTAAATAATAAGAAAACTTAAAATTAAATATACATTAAAATTTTAAAAATTTATTAAATATATAAGATATCTTACTAATAAAATTATGTTATAATTTTTAAAATGAAAAACTAACTTTTTAAAAAATTTAATTCTTTATTAAAAAAAATATATATGTTTGAGATGTCTGATGTTTAATGCAATTTTATTATCAATCAAGTATTTAGTGTATCATTATCTAATACAAATCCTTAAGGTCTAATGGATTTGAGAGGATTTGGATTTCAAATCCATTCCAATTTTGGTTTGTTGTATTGTTCGGATTTGAAATCCTAAGGTTTAATTATAATACAATAAACATTGGATTTTGAAAGTCTTAAAGGGTACTTAAATAATCAATTAATAAAAATATAATATAATTTTTTATAATTTTTTTTATAAATAATAGAATCCAATTTCATTTCAAATCCTACAAAACAAACAGACCAATGATTTTAAATCCAAGACAATCCTACAAACCAAACATACCCTAAATTAAAAAATTAGTTTAGGTCTATAATATAGATTCTAATTATTACATCTCTTTATCATTTTTGAACCCTTGTTTGTACATAATGCAATCCTCCCAAAAATCGCATTTGTTATTATAAAACAAGTGTTTTAAACATAATTGAAAAAATTATCAAACAAACATATAAAATCCCACGAAATACTAACTACTCATGGGATTTCTAAATCCATTGCTTGCAGGATTTCAAGGATTTCAATTTCGAAATTTCCCGAGATTGAAATGAAATCTAATTCCAGATCCCACAAACCAAACGGGCCATTAGGAAACGAATCGATTAACCAGATTGATTTTTGGCCTCAGTAGATTGATAAAAACTCGAATTTGTGAGGGGTAATCCCGTCATTTCTTCATACAAAAACAAGTCACCCAAACCAACATGACTATCTTAAGTCATAAATGCATGCAGCCCAACACAATTTATGACTCAGGAACAAGAATGCGATCCTGGATATCTGAAAAGCTCTTCACTTCTGTTCCCCATAACCTGCTTATCAGATTAATCATCAGTAGTCTTTCCAACACCTTAAAACCAAACTTTAAGGGCTGTTTGGTTGGTTTTTCATTAAGTCATATATGGATAAAGCTGTCTATATGGATTAAGCTGTCTATATAGATTGAGAAGGTTTTTGTTAGGTGTGTTTTTATCATAGATGGAACGAGCTTGTTCTTTAACTACGTAGGGACAGGTTTGGAAAAAAAATTGTCTTTCTGCATAAAGCTCCTTCTTAGAAGCTTATTGGATAAGCCACTTTCTATATCATAAAGCCACTACCGAAGAGTTCCGTATAGCTGACCGAATAAGCTGTAAGTACCATTAAGCTCATTAAGCTGCTAACAGACAGACCCTTAATCTACTTAAAAGATTGGAGTAAGTTTTACCAGCAGTTGATACCAACAGCATTTGCTCCCAACTTATCAGCCTTATCATCATCTCCTACGTGTACGGCTTTTGCAGCTTCAACATTCATCTCATCTATATTAATATCAAGAGTCAATCGTCAAAAACGATCCCATCCTAACAAGAATTGAATCATCAACATATGTAGAGTCGTACATACCCAAAGCACGTTCGAATATTTTTGCATCTGGCTTTTCATACCCAACTTCTGAAGAAATTATGACAGCATCAAACCTAACTCCAAGCAAAAGTACAAATTTAAGAAACAATCAAGAAATCTCCTTCTTTTCCCCACATTCTAGTGGTGATCTTCTTGAGCTGTCACAACAAGGTTGTTTCAGCTTTTGTAGCTCTTTAGGGTGCGTTTGATACACTGGACAGAACAGAACATAACGGGGATCACTGTTCCGAGTTTGGCAGGACTTTTATGTGGAACAGAGTATAACAGGCGTGTTCCACCCCACCCCTTGGAACAAGGTGGAATAGACTTGTATTTTACCAATATAACCTCAAAATAAAACTTAATTCTCTTCTAAAACATCAAATACGTCTCCCTCTTTACATCTTATTCATTGTCTATATTTTATTTAGGGCAAATTGTATGAAAAAGTAACGTACTTTAACTTGATTCCTATTTTGGGTAACGTACTTTCAAAACTTTCATTTTGGTACCTATTGATAGAGCAAATTGCATGAAAAAGTAACGTACTTTAACTTGATTCCTATTTTGGGTAACGTACTTTCAAAACTTTCATTTTGGTACCTAAGATGTAAAGTTTTAAACATTTAAGTACCCGGGCAACCACTTGAAGACTAAAATTAGATTAAAAAAAAGACTAATTTTATATTTAAAAAAATCCACGTCAGCAAATAATAACGAGTTAGATACCACATCAACATGATAATCGGTTAATACTTCAAGTGGTTACCCGGGTACTTAAATGTTTAAAACTTTACATCTTAGGTACCAAAATGGAAGTTTTGAAAGTACGTTACCCAAAATAGGAATCAAGTTAAAGTACGTTACTTTTTCATGCAATTTGCCCTTTTATTTATTGTATTTTATACTCTTTAGATTTTCACTTTGTTGTTCTCAAAATATTATTTTTATATGGTTTCTAGATTTTGATTAATTTATGTAATTTATCAAACATTAATAATAATAATAATAAAACAATACAGAAAACGTATAAAATGAAGACCGGAAACTAAATAAACTTTTTATTTTAGTGTCATTTTAATCGCTTTGACGAAAACCTTCTAATGATATATTTTGTTATAAAACATTTATTTTATTATACTTTAATACATTACATAATTGATCAAAATATATAAACAACTACAACTCACTAAGGATAAGTTAGTCATTTTATGTCCAATTTTGTCCTACCAAACGCTAAACAGTTGTTCTGTCTTGTCTGGATACCAAACGCACCCTAAAGGGCAAAATCTATAGCAACTCCAAACTTACCATAAATATGTCAGTCAATACTCTGTCTTCAAAAAAAGAGGAAAAAATGTCAAGCTTGATGGTAAGATTGGTAGTTGCTGTAGATTTAGTGTTAATTCAGTATTTCAAATTCCAATTACTAAGTTGTCGATACTTACAAATCTATAATGTTAAGGTCCTTTAACAACTTCCTCAAGCGGGTGTCAAAATTGGACACAACGGCCAGTTTAACTGTATCATATCCGATAATTGGGAGTTCAGGAAACCAAAAGAGATGCATTACTCTCAAAACGTGCCAGCTTAAAAGATAAAGAAGAGTACTTGATGGTTATGACCTCCAGCATCTTTTAGAATCAGTATAGTTTCGTAGGCCCCGGTCGGAAGGTGCCAAGCATCACCATTGGCATAGTACTGGTTAAAGACCAAAAGATAACATTCAAAGATATGCTAACTAAAAGTAAAATTCAACTTAAAGTAAAGCAAATATCTCATTATCTAATGAGTCATTAGGTGGGTGACAAGAAGACACACCTCATAAACTTCTTCAAAGTAATCATTACTGGAACAACCAGTGGCTTCAGAAACAACAAGCTTCCAGAATGGCCTTCCATCTCCCTATTAGACAAGAAGAACATGAAAAACACATAGAGTGCGTTTGGTACACTGGACAAGACATGACATGACAGAACAAGGATCACCATTCCATGTTTGGCAGAAGTTTATGTGGAACAAAGTAGAACAGACGTGTTCCACCCTAACAAGGTGGAACAGACTTATAATTTACCAATATACCCTCAAAATAAAACTTAATTCTCTTCTAAAACATCAAATACATATGCCCTCCTCTTTACATTTTATTCATTTTTTAAATTTTATTTATCGTATTTTATGCCTTTTAGACTTTCACTTTACAGTCCTCAAATATTATTTCTTTACGGTTTCTATATTTTGATTAATTATCTAATTTATTAAATATTAATAATAAAAATATAGAAAAGGTATAAAATAAAAATTGGCAACTATATAAACTTTTTATTTTGGTGTCATTTTAATCGTCTTGATGAAATTCAAATGATATATTTTGTTATATAAATTATTTATTTTAGTATAATGTAATAAATTACATAATTAATCAAAATATATAAACAACTCTTTAGGGGTAAATTGGTCATTTTATCTGTTTTGTCCTGTCCTGTCCTGTCCGGTCTTTCTTACCAAAAGCTGAACAGTTGTTTTGTCCTGTTCTTTCTTGTTCTATCCTATCTAGAACAATAATCATCTTGCCCATGCCTAACATGTTTCGAGTTTCTTTAGAATCCAAAATCGATAATCCATCCCTCCCCCTTCAAATCTGCAATATATCTTATTAATGTTCTAATGTTTCCTTTTTGGTCCATTCTTAATATATATTAAAAAACTATTTACTTACTTATTACTTACCGTTACTTCTTTACACTTTACCCCTATATCACTAGCTAAGTTGAATTGAATAACAGACCATTGTGTTACCAGTTTTAAAGGGGAATTTTAGACTACGTTTTTGAGCCCGGAACGGTTTTCTTGTGTTGAATGGTCGTTCCTGATCAGTTGAGTTGGATTTAGCTCTTCATGTTTGCAAACATCTCTTCAGATTTATTGGAAACAATGGTGCTAAATTATAGGACCATGAATAACAGAGTTTAATCTTCAAATGACGATAAAATCACATCAATATTATTATAAACGTTCAAGAAAGATGAAAACCAAGGGGCGAAATTTTCGCCATCCATGGATGCACCATGTAATTCACTGAACATGCTCAAATGAACAATAGTTTATCATGTTAAATTTTGGCAACAAAAAGCTCAAAATTCATGATACCACTCTAATTTTGGAAAGGATTAAGAATATGTATAGTTGAGTATGGAAATAGACAAGAAGATATGAGAATAGCACCTGGTAGCGAAGCTTTTCAGGCCATGACGCAGAAAAGGCTCTTTTAAACCCTCGCTTTATATCAGCCGAAGTTGCATCCAAACCTGTATGCCAAGATATAGAAATAATTTGCTCAGACTTCATACATCTATGACCTATCGAACACCTGGAATATTTCTACAATTGAGTAAGGGGCTGTTTGGTTGGTATTCCATTAAGTCTTGTATGGATAAAGTTGTATGTGTGGATTAATTTGCCTATATAGGTAGTGGAGATTTTTGTTTGGGTAAGCTTTTTGATATATGGAACGTGTTTCTTTAACAGGGAGGGATAGGTTTGGGATGCATAAAGCTCCCCCTAGAAGCTTACTACTTAATGAATAAGTCACTTTCTATATCGTCAAGCCACTACTAAACAGTAAACAGTATAGCTGACTGAATAAGGTATAAGTCCCGTTAAGCTCGATTAAGCTTCTAACAGACCCAAGTAAGAGGGCAACAAGCAAAGAGTTAAAATTCATCCATAAATTAATCGTTGATCAGCAAACACGGCTACGTTAACATCTATTGATAATTTATATAAACTAATTTGAATCTGAATTCCATAGAACCTAAAATCTGACCATATTTATGACCGATTGAGGCGTATGTATCCTCCACAGGCTTTGCCAATTGCAGGAGTGTTCCACCTGCATCCAACAATAAACCCTCGTACGCTCTCTTTACCGTTCTCCCACTTCCTGCAGGCAAATAATATTAGGGTTCTTAACACTGAAGTTGATCGGATTAACGTTGTAAACAGAAGTAATTGGAATCTAAACGAGTGATTGACTGACCTGTGTGAAGCGTAGTGGGAGAATTTGAAGACGATGAGCAACGGAGACCGATTGATTTCTTAAAAAGCATATTTGAAGGTTTTAGAGCTCTGAACAGAGCGCCGGCATCCATGGCTTATTTTGAGGTTTCTAATGACCACCGTTGTTGGGCGATTACCACTAGGCTCGCGGTGGTTGTCGCTAAAATGAACCGTTCGCAATCTGGATTCTGGAGTACCAATGTACCATTTACCAATTATAAAAAATTGCTTCAAGCCCCTTGATTTATATAATATTTTCATATTTACCCCTTAATTATCTAAAATATCAATTTATAGCTTACTTGCCAATATTTTGTTCTATTGGTCATTTTAGTATATCATTTAACTACAAAATTAGTAATCAACAAAAAAGAATTAAAGATCCATCATAAAACCCATTACTCGCTATCATCTTCTATTTTTGATTTAATTAAAAGTATAATCGTGATATGATACATGTTGATTCTGATGCAGTGAACTCGTCGAACTTTTAGTCCTAATTTATGACTTTTTTATATTTTCTATCTATATTGATTTTATTTTATGATTTTGAAAAACATAAATACTCTTCAATTAGTTACCAATTTTTTGAAATATTATGCCATACTAGTGAATTTCAGCACTTGCTTTGTATTTGATCATGTTTCTCAACAAATCATATGGAGTGCAAACATGTAGGTTTAAGTTTTACTTATACCGTAACAGGTTATACTCTTTGAACTTTAAAAGATTTTAAAAATATGAGGTAATTGTTTTATATTATAATAAAGATATTTATTAAATATGAATATTCACATGTGAATATACTCACAAATGGAAATAATGAAAACATGTGCTCTAAAATAGTGGTATATCTATATCAATGACTATTCATACAACAGTCTACAATTACAAAAATCCTATCTATATACTTTCCATCTTCAGCTTGCGCTTGACAATGGCCTGATAACAAACCTCAGTAATAATCCACAAACTATGTCATCAATAACTTATGCAGACATCAAACATAGCTTAAACCGGTCGTGGGTTTTCGTCATCTTTCCTAGAAAATAGTGAAAACGAAGTTGATATCTCACCAAATCTGCAGATATCTGTTCATTCGGCATACAACAGATGCTTCAAAAACTAGTGCCTTATTTTCGGGGGTTTTATGATCTGCATCTTACATGGCTCCAATGATGCTCGAGACTACATTGCTCAGAACCAGCTTATTTGAACTGCAAAAATAGTAGATTATATGTTTATCGTTAAATGTATGATCCATCATATAAATGGGGTGTCAATCTGGGTGGGAATGGGAAGTAGAAAGAACAAACCATGGAGCATGTCAGAGCACACCGATAATGTTGAATATAGGTCAAGGAATTCTATGATGAAATAGCTTTGTGACGGCTCTGCGCTCACAGTCCTACATATATGATCGTGACGTTAAGAATAAGATGTAGATATTTTCTAAATTTGGACCAATATAGTAATGACCAATGACTTGATCTTTGTAGAAGCCATGTATACAGGGAAGAAGGATGCCTTGGTACATTGAACATGACATAACAGAACAGAATATGGATCATTGTTCCATTTTTGGCAGGACTTTTATGTGGAACATATAGGAAGAAAGTGGAACAGGCGTGTTCCACCCCCCACCCCCACCCCCACCCCATGGAAAAGGTTTATGTTTTACCAATATAACCTCATAATAAAACCTAATTCTCTTTTAAAACATCAAATACGCCTTCCTCTTTAAATTTTATGTTATTGTATTTTATGTTTTTAAACTTCCACTCTACTGTCCTCAATATTATTTTTATACGTATCCTATATTTTGATTATTTTATGTAATTTATTAAATTAATAATTAAAAAATAATATAGAGAAGGTAAAATAAAAATTGGAAACTACATAAACTTTTTATTTTGGTGTCATTTTAATAGTAAAAAATTAATGATATATTTTGATATAAAAAATTTATTTTATTATAATTTAATAAATTACATAATTAATCAAAATATGTAAACAACTTATCAGAGGTAAATTGGTCATTTTATCTGTTTTGTCGTGTCCAATTCTATGTTACCAAACGCTGACAGCTGTTCTGTCCTATTCTTCCTGATACCAAACTTACCCAAAAGGGAACACTTTAAAAAAAATTAGAGCCAAAAAGACCCCTTATGCCATGCCAAATTACCTTAAACATATGCAGTACAAATCGTTTATCTGGGTTTGTTCTCGTCAACTTCAAGAAAGTATATCCAAAGCTCAACTGATCCCGTGAAGTAAAACGATCAACTTCATTGAACCAAAGACACGAAAATAGATTCGACATTGGTGTATGTGCCCTGACAATGAACGAACCTTCAGGTACATCTGCAATGAAAGAAAATTAGTGTCTTCGGTTCAACCATCAGAAGGCAGTCACTGAAATGGGAAATAAATACCAGTGATACGCACAACTTGGAAGGGGATTATTGGGGTTTGAAGGATCAAACTTGTGGAGACCATCAGACTGGTAAAACAGAAACTGTTCATCTATTGCTGTGTGGTTGTACTTATTTAAATGCTTATTTTGTTGTACTTCGTCCCAGACACAATGACGAGTATAATGGTTAGAAATGGCGTATTCCGATTTCCTTCGCCACAGAAAGTAGTCAATTAGGAGCATTGGGTCAGTATGAAGCCTCATCTTGCTATCAAGCCAAATGGAATACCTAAAAGCAACGGTATGTAAGAACTTGACCAGTACTAGAAAACAAAAGATGCACTCATAATTTACTAAGTTCAGATCATAGTTTACGAAATCACCTTGCTGATGGGAAAAGCCGATGTGACAAAAATTTTGGCACCTTCCCAGTTTTCCGCATGTCCTCATATGGTAAGTTGCTTACTACAACTATCCTCCATAACCCAATAAATCCTCTCTCATCAGGAATACTTCCCTCATTTGATAATTTTTCGAGTGATTCCTTGTCAACAAACATAATGAAACAAACATTCTTCTTTGAGTACTGGCTGATCTGCACAAATATAACAATCACAAGCAGTGAGATGGGTTTATAATTATCCACTCTTTAAGACAGTATGAGAAACAAGCAAGTATTAAGAAATCATAATACTTCAATACCAATAGGAGATTAGTAGCATAGATCATTACGAGGCTGTTTGGTTGGTTTTCCATCAAGTCCTGTATGGACAAAGCTGTATGTGTGGATTAATCTGTCTCTATAGATTGAGAAGGTTTTTGTTTGGGAGAGTTTTTTCATAGATGGAATGAGCATGTTTTTTAATTAGGAAAGGCAGGTTTGAAAAGAACTTAGTGAATAAGCTACTTTCTATATCATTAAGCCACTACCAAACAGTCATGTATAGCTGACCGAATAAGCTGTGAGTCCCATTAAGCTCCTACCAAACAAGCCCTAAGGATTGTTATGATGAATTTGTGAGGAATTGGGGGAGAAAGCATTATTAAAATCATTACCATTATTTTATTAAGCTAGATAAATCCAAGAAAATATTAACTTATATTCTCTTTACGATGAAGAGTTTGAAATGACCAAATTTAGTTACCAATTTGCTAGTTGGCCTCCGCAAAAAGTCTGAGCTTCCGAAAATACAGGATGATACAACCACAGTACAGGTACTCATGTACGATTTGTCCTCCTCGACCAAATCAAACCCAGTGCTTGGAAACCCTTCCAATCCTTTTACAAAACCGCAGTGAATTGTTTGATTGACTGCATGGAAGGATCGCTCTCTTTCTTCAAGGGTCTGATGACCTCCAAATCTGGGAGTTGCTGGATTTTCAAGGGAAGTTATGTTCTCCCTCTCAACATAGTGTAATGAAAATTTTACAAAATTCCAGAACGCTTTGGGCTCAACAAGTGCATCAACTGAGTCCCCTAGGTCAACTTCACAAGGGTTAAAACCTAAAGCATGAAATACAAAAGGATGTAATAAGAATTCATTGATGCTGCCAGATGGGACAAGCACAAAAATATTATATATATGTATATATATTGAATGCTATAATAGAGGAAGAAGAAAAAGATGTGCAGATAATATAGCCCGATTTTAACCAAAGATATGATGCAATTACGCATTAATGCTAAAAAAACAATTAATGAAGACAAATTCACAGTGGTTGCATCTTATAAATGCAATGATCATCAACTCCAAGAAGCAGATTGAAACATGTGATTGCGTCCTACAAATGCAATAACCATCGTGTCCAAGATACAGATTAAAATACATAAGGCAAACGATAAGATATTGTACCAGAAAATTACTTGGAGAGTCTCTTAAAACAAATGATAAAAAGAATATTCAAGACGTACAAAATTAAATTAATGAAACAATTGTAAAAAATATTCTTGTTCCAGTAAGTGACTACAGGCGGACCTAGATTAGGGCATACAGTGGTCTGTGCGACCACTTCATTATCCCGGCATAGTTGGGAAAAATGGCTCTTAAAAGGAGACACCATTTTGGTTAAAAGTAACAAAACGAAGGTTCAAAACAATGCTAGGAGTGCTCTTAGAGGAAGAAAAGTAATGGGTTCAAGTCTTGGTGAACAGACTTTCCAATATTTTTATAATTAAAATAAGTCGCTCTAGAGGCCCTGCCCACATCCCATTAATGAATTAGCTGGTCCAACCTAATTTTCTTAATTTCTTTGTATTTTGTACCGTATTTTGTAACTATGAATAATTTTTATTTTATAGTTAGTTTTTATTTACTTTCATGTTACAGTAATTATTTTGTGCCACTGCTGGAAAAAATTTATAGGTCCACCTCTGCTACAACACATGGTCACTGAACTCCAATCGTAACCATTCAATAGTTAAGATATTCCTAATCCAAGGTTTGAAAGAGCAAAAGTTACGCACATGCAAAATTTCATATTGAAGTCAACTCGAATAGAAAACAATTTGATTGTTGATGTTCCTGGTAGAGTCTTGCTCTCATCAAGCAGGATTGAACTAGCGTTTTAGTGTGACATCGACAGGAGTAAAGTATACAGCAGAAAGAACTCTTACGTCCCCTATGAGGCTTCTTTTTCGGCTGCTCCTGGGCATCTGATTTTATTGATACATCTTTTACATCTGTCAATGATGAAAAGCTTTGACGCTCTTCTACACCTGCAAAGAAAATACATGTAAGAAAAAAAAAATACGCAATCTATAGAGAAAAATGTCAATATGTCTCATGGGAATCTAAAATAAAGATTGCACAAGACTCTCTCTCTCTCTCTCTCTCACATACACATATATATACCAAGATTGCAAGATCCTAGATATAGGACTAAACAATGCATGCAGCCATGTAATGCAACAGCCAGCAATCTACTAAAGAATCTTCAACTTCTAACTTAGGTCTAAAAAATATTCTGTCAGGTCATGTATGATGTATCCATCGGAGATCACTCTCCATTTAATAGCTAATAATGCCTGTGTTATGTCAAAAATCCCATCACATTGGAGGCCAGCAGCCTTGACCCATAGGCATAGACCACACAGAAGAATTGTATGTGCAATATGTATAACACTTGGTTATATTAACCATTTCATGGCATTAAAATTGGTGCACAAATATAATTACCATCTTTAAAACCCATATGATAATATGCCATATTTATCTTAATATAGGTATGTTTGATAAAACTCAATGAATATTAGTTGAATAATTAAGACTTCTCAACGCTTAGGAATTGGGATACGTCAGTATGAGTGAAACACTAACATTCGTTTGGACTGGACAAATAGTCTAAACGAATATTTCCTCTTACAATAATTACCTCTTTAATTAAAATCCACTTCATAAAACATCTTCTTCTAAATATAAGTCTTGACCAGTGCAAAATGATACAATGTTCTCAACTTTATCACTTACAATTAGCCATTCCTTAATTTTTCTTGATTACAGAAATCAGACCACACAGTTGGAAGGCTCATAAAACTCTTCCAAGGCTAAAAACAATATATTCAAATGCTAGTTCTCAGTTGTGCTATGTCACAAATCATGCAAATTCCTGTTAAGTAGAGTACTTAGCAACCGCAGGCATTTGCATGCTTATTCCTTTATCGGGAGATGTAGCAAAATGATAATGAATTACCAGGGAATAACATCTTAAATCCAAAAACAGCAATACAGATGGAGAAGATGGCAGCAAATGAGAACATCCAAAACAACAGTCTCCTCCGTCCAGACCTCCTGCCACGACGAACAGCCCGTAATCCATGGTCACTAATATGATCAGGACCTTTAATCAGATCTGCACCAACAATAACTCCCCTCCTCTCTGGTAACATTTCAGTTATTCCTAAAACCAAGCTGTTGCGAAATCAACTGTACAAAATCACCATGATTCTTCAAATTCGTAAGATCTAGGATAATATCATATATGGAATTAGATTATTCCAACTTCACCTCAAAGTAAACAGGTACTTTCTAACAAAACTGCATTTACCTATTCCCTGTCTTCCGAGTGCCAATCTTCTTCCAAGCCCTAAACTCAATCTTGATTCTGTGTGTCATTGTCATTTTCATACTAAAAAAAGGGTGGGTGTTCGGTTTGCATAATGTTTTTGGAAGGAATGGGATCTGTAAAAAGAATTTGAATATGAGGAAATTGGAATGTAGTTGAATCATTTAATGCATAAAGTCATGTATCATCTATTAAATCAAATATAAACATAAACATCTGCAACGAATATATAAACATGAACAGAATCACATTAATAACCCATAAATGTTGTTTACATATTTCATAGGTTACTAATAACCCAAAAATATCGTCTAATCATATGTTAATTATATCCCAAACATGTGTATATGTGTATGTGTATGTATACCATTATGACGAAACACAATCATTTTTTGCATGCATTGATGTATGTCTACCAACAGTTTAGATGAATGCCTACAGTTATTACAAAACATGATCATTTTAACGCAATTCATAGCAACAAAATGTCAAATTACATACTTGGAAATTGAAAAAGGTCATATTTACATTTTGCTTGTTATGTGAACCTGTTGTCCGTTAAATGCTTTTGGAAAGCCATAAACAAGCAGATTATACAAGTCATTAACACATCAAATACAGAAGCTCTGCACGAGTAAGTAGACAATCAAAAACAAAAGCATACAACTCATTAAACTAAAACAAGATTATCAACAAAAAGCCATAAAGAAAAAGCTAGAAGTTGATATTGCAAGTTTGCAACACGACAGCATATTAGCACCACAAAGAACTTTGTTCAAATGAAATCATTTGAACAAATCGAGATAAAGATTAAAGAAGCTCTGCACAAGTCCGTAGATAATCAAAAACAGAAACATATAACTTATCAAACTAAAACAATATTATCACCAAATTGCCACAGAGAAAAACCAGGTATCAACATTGCAACACAACATCATATTAACACACAATGTTCAAACGGAACCATTTGAACAAACTAGAAGCAAATCGAGACAAATAACGCATAGAAAGGGGATAATTGTGAAATTACCACTTATTAGTATCTTGAATCAGGAGCAAATCGAATATGGAGATCGTACAAGGTGCAGATCAAAAGTAAACCCGTCCGGTTGTTTAAGAGAACCAAATCGAGAGATGGAGATCGAGATAAAGTCGGGAATACATACCAGATCGCGGAGAGAATATGACCTATAGATTGAAGAACAGATCTCAGACCGAAAGATTGAAGAAACCGGCGATTAGAATGAATGCATATCAATTAACAAATCCTGTAGTGGAAAAAGAAAGAGGAAAATGGACAATTGTCCGTCGGAATACGACGACTGCGAAGGGAAAACAATGTGTACTTTCTTTTTAGCAAGTATCAAAGTATTTGACTCAGATCTTAATATTTTTATTTTATATATTTTCTTAAGTCGAATTTGGACACCGAAAAAATAATAATTTTTTTATGAATTATTTCTTCGAACAGAGAAGATTATGAAAAGATATGAGGTTTTTTGTATATCTTTTAATAGTTTTATTAAAAGGTAGTTTTTGAATCGTTAAGAGATAGAATCTTGTTTGACAAAAAATATATGTTTCTTAATAGTTCTAAAACTCTTTGAATGATTTTATATCATAGATCTTTCTTAATCATTCAGCATACTAATTTTATTGTAAACAATTACCAAACAATTATATTTTATTTTGCACTATATCATTAGAGTTTCTTAATCATTCTATACTTTAATAATTCAGCACTAAACCATTCACCAACTGTTATACAACCCCAAGGATTGGACATCTATATCATTCTAGTTGTTATGAGACTTTGTTTGTGTTTTTTATTGTGTGTTGAATCAATTGACGTGTTTTTATTGAATTTTTGAATGTGTTAAAACTATATGGTAGTTTACAAATGGTTTAAACGATTAGATATTTTAGTTTAATTTAATTGAAATGAATTGATTCATAATTTAAACTTCAGACGTTTGTCAGTTTACAAAAACAAACAGTCTTATTGATTCAAATTTCAGATTTCAGATGTAAAAACAAACAGTATGACTGATTCATATTTCAGACTCCAGCACCACCTCTTAAAAATCAGAATTGAATTCAGACTTCAGCACCTCTTAAAAAAGAAACGCCGCTTAAAAATGTGTTTTCTTTATATAATACACTATACCATTATTAATTGTTTGTAATTGGTAATAAACCCATCACATACGGCTAGAAAAACTGTCTCATAGATGTAGTGAAAAGTCTCGTCGTTATCGTCTTGAAATACATGGCCGAGGTCACGCAAATCAAGAAGAAGGACAATCCGTAGAATAATCATGTATTTTGAGGTATTCTTTTATGATATTTGTCTTCACGGACTATCTTTATCTAGGGATGGTGATTTGGCCCGACCCGGTGGGGAACCCGGTTTACCCGACCCGGACGGGGACGGGGATTCCCCGCTAAAACGGGTACCGGGGCCGGGGCCGGGGATCCCCGGTAGAGGCAAACCGGGGTTGGGGCCGGGGCCGGGTATTGTATCCCCCGACCCGCCCCGTACCCGGTATATATATAAAATTATAAATATTAAATATTTTTATTATTTGGGCTGATTTATATTATATAATTGGGCTTTTACTTGGGCTAAGGCAATAAGGATAACCGGCAGCAGAGTGCTCCCGYCTCCCAAGTCCCAATCCCAAATTCACATTTCACAATCTCAATTCTCAGTTCTCACTTCTCACATCATCATCCACGAGACCACGACCACGAAGACCACGACCACGAAGACCGTCGCCACTCGCCCGTCAGCCACTCAGCCGGTCGACYGTCGACCTCGACCACCTCGTCGTCGTCACTCACGCCTGCGGCCTGTCACCGTCTCGACTTCTCCACAACACAGACCCTCACGCCTGCGGCTTCTCACCGTCACCAGGCACCACCACTCCAGCCGGCACTCGACAGTGAGTCACCGTCCGGACATCCCTCGTCTCATCTATCATCTTGCTCTTCTCCGTCTCTGCCATCGAGGTCAGGGCTTAAAAAGTTAAACCCAATTTTTTCAATGTCTTTCTAGGTCATAATTTTATTTCCATTCATAACAACTTCTATAGCTTTATTTCTATGATTACATTACTTTACTTTAATGTTTGTTGTGATGTACATATATTTGTTAATGTTTGCTGTGATGATTACATTGTTTTCAGCCTATATTTGTTAATGTTTGCTGTGATGATTACATTGTTTTCAGCCTATATTTGTTAATGTTTGCTGTGATGATTACATTGTTTTCAGCCTATATTGAATGTTTGCTGTGATGTAAACTACTCACTAGCCTAGTCCTAGAAAGTTTGAACTCAGATCCCCTTTGGCATTTGATACTTCCCTGGATGAACTTGATTTGGTTTGTGTTTTTTTTTGGGTCTGCTTTACTGTGTGGTCAACTGGTCCGTGTGTATGCAGATTTTTTTTTATTGACAGCACGGGACAAGGTAGGCAGGTGAAAGAATTTATGAACGGGTATTATGTTTTAATTTGATATGCGTAGTTTAGTAATTTACCGATCTATAGGTAACATCTATAGGTTTTCTATTTTAGTAGATAAAGGTTTTAATTTGATATGCGTAGTTCAGTACCAAAATAAGTAACATCTATAGGTTTTCTAT